AAAAATTAAAAAGAAATAAAACTAAGAAAATAATTAAGAATATTGTACAGTAGGGTGTTCCAGATGCATAAAAAAGAAATTTTAGTAGCTACAATAAAAGATAATGACATTATTGCTCCAGAAACGTATAGGTATCAGACCAGTGAGCGAGAACAAGCCAAAATGTGCCCTGTTCCCAAACAAACAGTCATTGGATTCGCGACTCCGTTCCCACATCAATATTGACGGTCATAAGTTTGAAGTCGTATATAATTACGTCTATCTTGGAGCCAGTGTTAACACCAACAACAATTTCAAATTGGAAATTCAACGCAGTATAACGTTTGCCAACAAATACTAGTTTGCACTGAGTATGGAATTGAGAAGTAAAGTCCTACCTCAACGAAGAAAAGCCAAACTTCACAAACCGATTATCATTACAATCCTGCTGTATCGCACGGAGGCATGGACGACGACATTATCTAATGAGACGGAGTGAGGAGTTTTGACGAGAAAGGTTTTGAGTATGATTTATGGTCCTCAGCGAGTTCGAAACGGCAAATACCACAGCCGATGGAACGGCGGGCTGTAAGAAATGTACAGCGACATTCAAAATACTTCAGTGAATAAAAGGATAGCGCCTACACTGGCTAAATTATGTGTACCGGATATATAAGAATTCTGCAGTGTTAAAAGTTTACGATGCATTACACTCCGGCGGAAGCAGAGGAAGAAGAAAAGACCGGATGTAGAAGGTCCTGGCTGTACTAAATAGCGTCAAATAGCATAAAAGAAGAATAAGTGGTGCGCAGTTGTTAACTCGACTATAATCGCATAAGCGGTGAAGACGGGTAAGAAAGACTGGTGAAGAATATTTTTTCTATTACTAACCGAGGCAAAAGGGACAAACAACTTCAGCGGCTGGTCACCACAGGCCTTTCAATATATCTTTTAATATAGGCTTCTTACATAAATGTGCGGTTTAACCAGAAAATTGGAAATTATTTTACGAATTCTTAATTAATATTTATACACATTTAATACGAAAACTTCAAGAATTTTTTCCAACATGCTCCGATTCATTTTCTAGCCACACAAGAAGCAACGTAAAGTGAATGCCCGTAAAAAAAATAAGCCAGCTGTTAGGTCCACGAAAAAAAGTGCTAATAAAACATTAAATCTCGCAGCCGTTTACTGCTTACAGCTACCGTAAGCATTATGCACGTACTGCACCTACAGCGAATAAGTTGCCAACTTGCCACCAGCCACCAGATATTCCAACTGCTACTTAAGCATATGCGAGTATGAGTTTTGTTGCCAAGCTGCTGCAAAGGCAAAGTCAAATCTGTAAAAAATATATAAAAAAAATGGGTTGAAAATATCAAATTAATGAATGGATTGAGTGCCAGACCTGCAAAACACCAAAATGCAGCTATTTTGCTTTCGTTTTATGTTTGTATTTTTTTCTTTTTGCAAAAAACTTGAAAACAACTTTTTTTCCATCGACTACTTTTAAATCTCATTTTTGGTAGGTGTTGCCCGTACATGTGCGACACGCTGCCGTTCACGAATTTAATGGTCGATATGTATTATAATTTAATAGCTACGTGCTTGTGGTGCTTTTCGTTTGTTTATATAATATGAACTGTTTAGTGTGCATATAAATTTCTTGACATTTATGGCTGCTGTTTGTGTTGTTTGTGTATGAAAATGAGCCACCCAAATTTTTGCCACAGGAATTGATTAAAAATAATGTCACTGTTTGTTATTTGATCTGCAAAAGTTTATTGCGGTTGCTCTGTTACACTGTACTGCACATCGCGGTGGTGACAGTGGCATTGATTTGTGTGTAGTTGATATCAAAGTTTTTATTTTGTGGTTATTATGCATATTAATTTCACTATCTTTCGCCTTACAAATTATTTTACATTATCCCACTGCTGATTTTATATTTACTTTTGTGCGTTTTGATATTATTTTGCGGCTTGCAGGTGATTACCTTTGTTATTCTAGTTGTTGATTTTTTTTAGTGCTGGCAATCGTTATTGAAAAAGTCGATGAATATTTATATTTGCATTGGCAGCACTGTACTCTTAGGGTGAGTGTACAATAATTTTGATCAAAGGCCATGAATAAAAAAGAAAAAATTTATTAAAAAAGTTCTCTTTTTCCATAATTATTTACATTTTCCACAAAAATTTCCGCTGTAAAAGTCATAGAACTGCTTCGTTAAGCTTGCGACTAGCCTTACTATGTTTCTCTTGAGATTTATGTGACATTAAGAGTTAACCAAAAAGTATAAAATAATTCCAGCAATTATTGTTGCATGTGGCAAAACGGCAAACTCTTGTATTATGTTGATGCTGAGACTGCTTGGCCATTCTAGTCAAACGTTCGAAAAGTTTTAGATTTCAGGCACTGCAGCGAATCCAAATTTTGTGCAGCTGCGGCAACTTCACTTGTTGCATTAACAACACTCCTGCAGCAATCCTACCACCAAAATATATTTAACACTACATACTCGTATGTGTATGTAGCTATAACTGTTTGTTAAATATGTTTGAATTTGTTTGCAGTTCAATGAGCGTTTGTTTTTGTTTTTTGCTTTGGCGGCTGTTGGCTGGTGTCAGCATGTCTACCGTGTCGTGTGTAACACATTTACTGGTGTATAGTAGAAGCCAAGAAAAGGCCAAAAAAAAAACGACCGACAGCCACACATTTATTAACAATCGCAAAAGCTTAGAGTGCCACATATCTGTGTAAGTGTGGCAAACGATCTGGGCGAGCAGCAACCTGCGCACATTTTGTTGTTCATTATTTGGCTATTTAATCGTTTCAGCGGCAACTGTGTGTCACACATGTGGCATGTATTGATTTTCCTGCAGGCGTGCTGCTTTACATGTTCCAAGCACTGATTTTTTCTTACTATTTTTTATAAAATTGCATTTTTATTCAATTTTTTCATTATTATTTTCTTCTTTTTAAGCACCGAGTTTCTATTTTATTTACAGCACTTTTAATTATTTTTATTTTTTCCACACAATAACTGGTTCGCCTTTGGATTTGTGGTGAATAAAAAATCTATTTCTTCCATTTTTTTTTTATTTATTTATCTATTTTTTCTCAAATGACATTCGTTTGCATTGTGCTTGTAATTTTTTTTTTTGTTATTTTCAACCATTCGCCTTCAAGTTTGCTTCAGTTTTCGTACAGCTGAGCTATTTCTCGGCGTTCATTCCTTACACAGTCTAGCTAGCCTGTTCTGCTGTTCATTTGCCAGCGCGTGTTCGCCTCTAATATACCGTCAAAGTTATTCTTGAATAGCCCATAAATCTTCGTTGTGAACGTCATTTAATGGTTCGTTGGCGCGTTGTTTGCGAATCGCCGCATTTCCACACGCCTCCTCCTCGGTTTGTTCATGGCATTTGATACAGGTTGGTCGTGTGTGCATTGCTAATACGTTGTAGATGTGTTTGTGTATCAATAAATATGCATTTGCTGACCATTACCATGCTGCTCTTGTATCACACCACATACGATGGCAAGCGTTTTGTTAGCAGATTTGTGGTTTGCCTGCCTTGATATCTGTTATGAAGTACAACATAAAATCACCTTCCACTGCACTTCTAATATTTCCCATGCTAAATTTTTATTTTCCACGCATTTGTTTTTCGTTTTTTTTCATATTAATTAAATATTATTTCAATTATTCATTTTTTGCTTTTGCACAAAATGCGCAATTAATATGGTCATGTCGCATTAATGACTCGTTCACTTACTTCCATACACGATTGCACCTGCATCGATATGTTCGTGAAAAAAAATGACGTATGGCGTTGCCAACTATTCTGTACATGTATTAAGCCAACAGCGAGTGCTCACTGTAAGTAAGTTTTTTAGGTGTAGTGCTTAAATTTGGTGTTTTATTTTCTATGTTGTGATGTAGGAATTACTTGAATTTAAGCTGATATTTTTAATATTTGGTTAAAATTTTAAAGAAATTTAAAGAATATTTCTAGATCAAAAGTCTAAAAGAACATGATCAATAGATATTTTTCGGTGTTCGTCCTACGGTTTTATGCTGCCACCGGCCGACTTTGACAGAAAGTCGCCCGGAGGTGATGACGGTTTATGGAAAAACGTATGAGGTATTTGTGGAACTAGGACTACTCACCATGGCCTTCCGACTATTAACACGCATATCCAAGTCTTACCGCCATCGGTTTCTTAGTTGGTTGATTGATAGAGTGAGGTTGAGGACCTGACCGCAAGCGGTTGCACGTAATCCTTTGAGAATCCTCATTGTGCTGCACCCCGTAGCCCCACTAAGCATTTGTGAAAAGTTCAGTCGACCACGCCATGAGGTAAGAGCTAGGAGCATCATGGACGATGTGACATCCGCAAACGGCTGAAGGCAAGATACTCGTTCGTTTTTCATCCTCTGTGCATGCTCTGCACACAGTCGATTTTACTTTATCTAGCTTATGGAGATGAATTTTATCTGAGGCGTGGTTGCATCTAAAAGAATGTTGATTTCTTTTTTGCTAAAATACAGGTAACAGTTTAGTCTGTCTAATATACACGCTGTCTGAGAATAATTCTGTGTTACGTCTTACGTTAGAAGAGTTCCAAGACCCTTAGTGTTCCTTTATAGCTCATTCTTTTAAACAACATTTGAAGACGCTAAAAGTAGGAGGCAGTTGATGCTGACAGTCCGTTAGTGGCGCCTGCGTCCGCCAATTCAGTGCCTTCTACATCTGTGCGAGATTGCACCCAAGTGATATAGACTGTGTTTTTCCGCGATGGCCTGTTAATTACCTTAATTTCCGCTTGATTGTCTACCAGAAATCCATTTTCCCATTGACACCTTCACTAACGTGCTTGGAATACAGAGTTGTAGTCATTGAGTTTGAAGTAACTTTGGTTATTTTCATGGTCTTAGAAGAAGCCTGCTCGTGTGTCTGTCTCAAATTTAGGCACCTCAGTATAATTATAGATATCTTTATTGTTACCGTCTAGGAACGGACTAGTAGCGCCATAAATGCACACACATCAAATACTCTCAGAAATCTAACCAACTCCCATCTTTCTACCAATCCTATCGTAATCTGCGTGAAACTCATTACAAGCCGTCATTCCACTTACGCGCTCTTACATTTATCACATCTTTCACAAGACAAACATAAAACCAATGAATGAATTTCAAAGACACGCAACAAGAGTTGAAGAATTAAGCGCGAAGCTGGTGCGAGCATAGTAAATACTATGTAAGTCACAATCGCCGAAATGCGGCATATTTTTGTTTTACTTATTTATTTAAGAGTACGAGTACAAGTATTTATGTATATTTATTTTCCATTTGGCCGTGAAAGTGAAAGGCTCAAGAAAGCTATTAAGCCGCTCGCCTAACTAACTAGCGGAGCTGAATGATGCGCTGGCGAGTTGGCGGAATCGGTGAAGAGCATTGTTGTTGATGTACTGTGCACTCGCTGCAGTGTTTATCTTTCGGTCTGTCTGTCATTCAGTCAGCCACTTAGTGATTTTCTTCTTTTCTTTTCTTTATTTTGTGTACTGCATCGTTAACACTTTAACACACCTTTCACTCAACACCTCAGCAGACAAAAAACAAAAATAAATAAATAAAAAAAAAAAAATCAATTATTTACAAAGTTTTAATGCGATCCCTTGAATGCGCTGGCTCGTTGTTGCTAATGAATTGAAAGCATTTGCAAGCATTTCAATGGTAAATATTTTCACTGCATTTTTAGTCACTTCACTTTTGTTGTGTGCTGTTTTTGTTTTTGTTGGTATACGCAGCTGGCAAAGTGCACGCAAAACGCGCAAATAACGCGTCTCATCAATCACTGCAGAGATAAATGAAAAAAGTGAAATAAAATCTATGCGCCGCCGAAAATTGGGTTAATTTTCAACTACACTGGTGACTGCGACGCCAACAGCAACGAGTTGGTCAGCTGATTGCTGTACGGAAACTCGTTGCTTGATCAATATTGCATATCAAGCTTTCAATTTACATCGAGAGAAAAAGCAAAAACAAAAAATGAAAAATGAAATAGAAAAAAAAAAATAAAATCAAAAACAAAATATGCGTGCCACCACTTCGGCTTAATCGCATGACAGATCTTAAATCTCGATATTTGCTGTGCTTGCGCTGCTTATAATTTAATGTTGTTGTTGTCGTTGTTGTGCTTATTGCTGTGTGTAATCGCCCCAATCCGTTTCAGCTGCTGTAAGAAGCCAATTTAAGACATTTTCTTTTTGTTTCTTACACACTCTTCCTTACTATACACCACCGCTCTTCTCTTCCTGTTAGTCTGCACTTGTGTATGTGCTAAATTTTTCGTTTGTTTAATTACTATTATTTTCTTTTGTACATTACATTTTTCCCCACTAATAAACGTCACTGGCATTGCTGCGGTTGGTGGGACAATTTCTGTTGCTTCCACTGACAGCTGCATCGTATACTGGTGGCGGCGTCAGTCGCTCGTAAATTATGTGGCGCTCTGATGCACGAGTCTGTGCGCATTTTTGTATCCAACTTAACTGTTTGTATATATATATATGTAAATGTATGTATGTATATGTAAGCTGTGGGAAAGTTTTTCGCTTCATACTAAATTACTGACTGAGTGACGGCCTTTGTTTTTGGGTTTTTGCTTATACTTTTTTTTTTGACTTTGCGTTGATTGACAATGTATGCTTGTTAACGCTTTTGGTTGCATTTTTGTTGGAAACCACTTTTATGTTGTTGTTACATAAATTTGTTTTTTTTTTTTTTGGTTTTAAAAATTAATCATGTAGTTAAGCGATTAATCGTGTAAGCTTATTGTAAAGTAGTACATATGCATATACTGAAAGCGGATTCTACGGAATTTACATGGTTTTTATTTAATTTAAGTTAATTACCTTTTTTATTTTTTTTATTTTTTTCGTTCATTTTAATTTAATTTAATTTTATATGATTTTAGTTTATTTTGTTTGATTTCACATTACTTAATTTACTTTAATTAGTTTACTTTTATTTCGTTTTATTTTTTATTTTATTTTATTTTATTTTATTTGAATTCATATTAACTAACTTGCTTTATTTAGTTTATTTTTATTTTGTCTTGTTTTATTTTATATGATTTATATTATTTTATTTTTTTTTTATTTTTTTTAATTTATTTTTGTTTTATTTTATTTTTCATTTTATTTCATTACTTACTTTTTTCTTTGATTTTAATTTTTGATAGCTTTATTTTATTTTAATTTTTGTATTTTATTTTTCATTTATCTTAATTTATTTTTATTTTATCTTATTTTATTCCTTAGAGTTTGATTATTTTATATTATTTCATTATTTTCATTTATTTTTGTTTTATTTTATTTTTTTTTAATTACATGCTTCTTTATTTTAATTCTTTGATTTTGATTTTTGAAAGTTTTATATTATTTTATATGTTGTATTGTATTTTTCATTTATCTTAATTTATTTTTATTCTTATTGTCTTATTTTATTTCTAAGAGTTTCATTATTTTATTTTACTTTTTTTCTTGCATTGTACTTTTGTATTTTTTTTATGTTACCTTAATTCAATTTTATGTCCTTTTATTACTTTTGATTTCATTTAATTCTAAATTTTTTTATTTTTTTGTACTTAGTGTAATTTTATTTTATTTCAGTTGATTTCATTTAATTTATTTTATTTAAATTTAATTTTTTTTAATTTTGTTTTAGTTTATTTAATTAATTTTTTTAATTTCATTTATTTATATTTTTCATTTTATTTAATTTTTTTTTCATTTTATATTATTATTTAATCTGATTTAATTTTATTTAATCTGATTTAATTTTATTTTATTATTTTATTTTATTTTATTTCAGTTGATTTCATTTAATTTATTTTATTTGAATTTAATTTTTTTTAATTTTGTTTTAGTTTATTGAATTAATTTTTTTAATTTCATTTATTTATATTTTTCATTTTATTTTATTTTTATTTCATTTTATATTATTATATAATCTGATTTAATTTTATTTTATTATTTAATTTGATATTTAGGATTTGATTTTATTTGGTTTTACTTTGTTTTTTTTTTACCCTTTTACTATTTTATATCTTTTTATTTACATATTTAATTTTTATTTATTTTATTTTATTTTATTTTATTTTATTTTTCCATTTTAATTCATTTTATATTATTTTATTTCAGTTTATTTAATTTAATTTTTTATTTTATGTTTATTTTATTATATTTTATTTACATATTTATATTAATTTTTATTCATAGAACAATCAATTTGCATACAATTCATAAAATCCATTCAAGCAAATAGGCTTTATTCACTGGCAATCAGCTGATTGACATCTTCATTTGCAACTTCAACTCCAACACAAGCAAATGTAAAACAAAATGTGCAAACATGCAACGCATGTGACAACAACATTCGTGAAAACGAGTAATATACGTAAATTTGTATGTATGTACATCAATATATATACGACACAAGAACGATGACAACAAACTCTCCTTAGCCAACTTCACAGAACGTGTTGTCGCAAACAAAAGACCATGGATGAGCATGTGGTAAACTGGTTATGGTTTATGTAGTAAGTAAAGGAGCACAACCGCAAACTAGTCACTAGCCGACATATGTACATACATACAGACACACTGGTCGCATTGCCAAGTCGTGCGGTTGCATTGTGCCAACAAAAGGAAGTGAGCCAATTGTTGACACGCCACCGAAGCAAAATGTTGCACGAGCTGGTTGGTTTGTTGGAAATAAATATAGACTTTTGCATAAAAAAAATATTAATATTTGTATGTGTACGTAAATATAAATGGAAATGTTGCATGAAAGCGGCCAACAAATAATAATATGGAGTAACAACAAACTGTGAACCAGTTTCATATTGACTTCATTTCCATTGTTTTGTTGCTGCTTAGCCGCGAAAAGTGTGTCTTCTTTACTGACTTATGAGATGTACATGTGTATATGACAAGTAAGCGTGGTTTTACTGTTGCTGATCATACTTTGGCTTGGAAGATTCTACGAAACCCACTTTGAACGGAAGCGTTATTGGTGGCCGTTTATTCGGAACAATCCACAACACATTGTTTGGTTATAATTGGTTAGCAGCTTACATGTGTACATATAAGCAAAAATTAAATAAACAATTAAATTGTATTCACTTTCAACTTGCTTTTAATACAAATTAATGTTTTTCTTAGCTTTACATTAAATAGTAAATGCTTTGCTCTCAATCACAATCATTTCATCACTCCGTTGTCTGTCACTGTCAAAGCATTGCGACAGTTTAGCAGCTTAATTCGTATTGCCTTGGCGCTCAAACCATTCAACACCTTTTATATTTGTGCAATTTTGTTTTCCCCCCAAAAGCATATTGACAGATGTCAATCAAAATCAAATGCCGAAAAAATGTGCTATTTTATTCCCGTACAAACTGCGACAAAAAAATTAATTTATAGCAAAAAAAATATGTATATAGATATATTTATTGCACATAATTACGTTACACCATGCAAGCAACGAGTAATGCATGAAAATTACGCGAAATGTATGTATATACATATAAATTAACAACAACTTGGGAGCTTAGTATACACGAAACATTCAAAAAACAAAAAAACAAAACAAACGACAAATATAATTGTAAATTGTGGTTTTTAAATTGTAGAATAACAACAACATTTTGAGTAAATATCGCCAATAGCTGCTAATTAGTGTCAATTGAAAAAATTTAACAAGCAATAAGCAATTGCAGGTAACCTGCTGGGAGTTGGGCCAGCAGATGTAAGCAAAAAAAGAGCAAACGAGTGTGTAAAATACAAAACAAAGTTGTAAAAGTGAAATAATCAATCGTCAATGTGTGATTCGTCAGTTGTATTTCGTAAATACATAAATAAATGCAATTTTAATTACAACAAGATTATTTTTGGTAACAATACACAAGATTACATACAGATTACAACTGCATTAATACAATTAACCCCATTAATTATCACTAAAAGTTGAATAAATTGTCGGCTGGTTTTTGTTATGATTTAGCACGCTGTGATTTCTAATTGTTTCGATCTGACAATTGATTGATTTCAAAAGTAATTAAATTTATGAACGTGCTCTTAAATTCATTAATGATTTAGCAGACGTTTTGATTAATGCATGCGGAAATATAAAAATTTGAAGGCTACTTATCTGCAGAGGCCCATAGTGAATAGAAGAGCACAAAGTTAGACATCTTAACACATATTGAGTGTAAATTAAACGGTTGTTTTTTGACTCGTGGTTTTCAAGAAGAAATGAAACGCCCATAATCCAGTGTCATGACTTATTTATAAAGATAAGGGCTTAAGATTATCTCTTATAAATTATTGTGGTTGACCACCGCGGCTGGCCCAAAGGCCCAATTTTCCACCACTTTTTGCAGCAATTGTGGAGCTACATATGTCAGAAATAACGTGCCGAATATTCTCTCCCATATCTGCGTAGATAAGCGACTTCACATAATTCCACAAAAAAGGAGTCCAGCGCTGAAGGCCCACAATGCGAGATAATGCGCACATCAAGGGTTTCTTTAAACAAATTGATTGCTTCGTTAGCTGTATAAAATGTAGCGTCGTCTTGTTGGAACCAAAAGTCGTCTACATCAACATCTTCTAATTCAGGCACAAAAAAGTCAGTAATCATGCCGCTATTGCGTGCCCCATTGACTATACTACTATGACCGGCTTCATTTTAGAAGGAATATGGACCAATTCCCTGTGCCCATAGAGCAGCCCATCAAACAGTGACTTTTTGAGAGTGTAAAGTACCCATTTAATAAAAGCTTCAATGCTGGAAAAATAATCTTGACCATCTCATCTCATTTTGGGTCCATTCTCCGAACGTGCGAAGCGCTTGAAAGTCATTCGGCTTCACTTCCTGCGCGAGTTGGATTTTGTAAGCCCGCAAAATCTTCGATGAAGTGGATGGACACAACTTCAATTGTTGCGCGTCATGGCGGATGTACTCTTCTTCGATAATTAGCTTCACACCAACAAATAACGTACGTCTTCGGTGCGCTTTGTACGCTGTCCCGGAGGACGGCCATTATCCATTAGACTAAAGGTGGTAGTGCAAAACGATTCATGGTTGCTCGAAATACCGAATCTATTGTGAATAAATCAAGTCCGAAAAAACGATTGCCTATTTTGAAACCACTTGTCTATAAGAACATCCTTTACATTGAACCTTGTTTTATTTTTCCAAGATAATTGAATAAATTTTGAAGCCCTGCGCTAAACCATTGTTGTGCTTTATGCAATTTACTATACTTTGAAATTGTGGCGTCTTTGTGTATGGTTGTTTAATTTTTTTGTGCGCCAAAAATGTTTTGCTGATAAACCTATTACTTTTTTTTATTTTTTATTTTGTCCAATAAATATTATAAATTACATTTCTGATGATTTTCTTTTGCAAAGTTGCTGGCGGTTAAGAATTTTCGGACATTCGATCATTTTTTGGCATTTGCTTTCAAAACAGGGAGCACCAAATATCCATTATTCGAAAGGAGAGATATTAAATTCCCAGGTAACAGAATGGTGGTAAAGTCACTCGAAGGGATGTTTCCCAGTAGCAAACACTCGAAAAGGACCAAAAAATACAATTATTTTGAATCAAGCTAAAATGTGGCTGCACTACGTTCATATTTTAGTTTATTTTTCATTTCAAAATACTAGTTTCCTCCGGACCCTGCCTCAAACACATAATTAGAGAAATTATTATAAATTTGTGTCACCCAGTGTTATGCTGATGTTTTTAATTCCTTATTGAAATTAAAATCATTTTAGAAGGAAACAGTCTGGAAAAGTGATCGAATAGGATTTATATTCTATTTGTTGAAATCAAGCTGAAAGTCACACTCATCATTGCTCACAATCGCCGATTAGTGCCATTGCCTGCTGCACCATTAGCTCGTTCATTAACGTAGCTATCAAAACCAACTATAAAAAGGAATATTGTATATATTCGAGAGCAGGGAATCCAGTTCTTGTGAGCGCTAGACGCAAATACAAGCATGGATGCATATGAACATATATATACATACGAGTATGTATTGTATGGCTTACATTGTAGTTCTCATCAATATTCATTAGGTAGAAGGAAAAAATGTATTTATATATATGTACATACATATATGTTTTAGCCTTGTCAATCTAAATGGTAGATTAGCTTTCTTACAACGCAGACAGCGTTGCAGACGACAACGACGACGTTGATGATTGCAATATTTATCAATATGCTTGACGATAATGACGATCGGTGATGGCAGCAGGCATTGATTGCGATAGACACGCAAATACATAAAAATGTCACATTGTTGTGTATATGAAAATAAAGTAGTAGAAGAAGCGTGCACAGACAATGATACTCAATACAACAATAGCAACAAAATATTGTCAACATAACAGTCTACGATAGAAATGCATAAAATACGCAACAACAATAAAATGATAAAATGTTGTGGTGGGAATTATAGTAAAAGCTTACACATATGCACATATGGACATATGTATGTATATGCATACATAAGTGTATTATGTATGTTTAATGACTGGCAAAACGTTGCAATGAAGAGTTTATGTATGTGAACTAATGAAAAATATGGCGACAATTAAAAATCAATTTACGTGCAATGCGCAAGTGCGCACGCGCAGACATAAACGACAAATCGTAACGAGGCGCTTAAATGTAATATATATGTATATGTACTTACAAACAAACTAGGGTGGCAAGTGCGGTAATGGATGAATGGCTAGCGCGAAACTGACATGGACACATACATATGTATACACAAGTTGAGTGTATGTTGCCTGCTGTTGGTCAAGTCAATCAATATAAGCGACCACCCGGGACTCCATTTGTAGCCAGCATAACTGGGCGTACGCAGGCGGCAGGCGCTTGCCATTCTTTCGCCGCTGGTTGGCGTCTTTGCTAAGTGGTCTGACCACGGATGTGCGTAGATTGACATGTGCCCCCAATTTTTCTTCTTCTCTCTAACTTCACCTCTTTACACTACACGAGTAAAGTGCTAAGCTATATATTGAGGCGATATAGTAAATAACTGTATAAAATAACGCCTTATAGCCTCTTCATCCGCTTTATCCGTCGCGCACGGAACGGAAAAATGATATGCGCTGACGTCTAAAGTGAAATCTCATGTCACGTGTCAAATGGCGCGCAGAAAAAAAAAACACAGTTTGCAAGCTCATGCGCTGACCGCCTGACAACTGACTGCTGAGACGTGCTTGCACTCGGTAAGCAGCAAAAACAATCAATTCGAGTCATTTATAGTAATATTTGTTGCGGTTTATTTAACAAAGTGTGCGAAAAAGTTGGAAAAAAATACAAAAAAAAAAAAAACGGAAATAAAATAAAAACGACTATTAATAAAAGAAAAGAAAATACGTTTGTATGTGCATAAGTGCCCAAATAAAAAGTTCTTCATACATACATACATAAGTGGCGGCTATAAATCACAAGCAGCAAATTTAGCTTCTCGTTTGCCTTAGCGATTGTAGCATAAAACGCAAATTAAGAGAATAAAATGTAAATAAGGCTCAAGACACTTACATAAGTGTTTTCTTCCAGCACTTCTGACCTAATTTCCTGACTTGCGAAACCGAAAAAAATGAGGCGAATAAAACTATAAAGCCGACAATTTGAGCTCAAGCACTGGACGCGCAAAAAGAAGCTTGAAAATAAAAAATAATAAATAAATATATAAAAAGAAAAATAAACCAACGACTTATCAGCCGCGCCTCATGTTACTTTTTGGCAACTTTGTTTGTAGACTCGCTGTCACTTTCCAACATTTAACTGGTGCTAAAGGTAGGAAGCCGCCGCAGCCATGTTTAAGAATATTCAGCTACCCAAAGCAAGGCATCCAAGCCTTAAAAAATTCTCAGCTACAAACGATATACGAACGTTAAGTTAACATTGGAGGTTAAGCAGTTGATATTTGAACATTCTGAAATTTTTTGTTGTTGTCGGAATTGTCATTTGATATTTTGGATTTGGTGGCTTGAAATTTATGTATGGATTTAAATGTATGTAAATCGCTTGTAAGCGCTTCAAAATGTCGTGATGTTGGCTTGTTGTTATAAGAATGTATGAAGTGTTTTGTGATGGCATATAAGAATGTAGTTGCCACATTGACAATTTCTTACGTTAAAGGCCTGAAAAAAGTGAAAAGCGTCTCTTTTTTCCCAAAAGTGAGATATTGGATTTTCATCTCTTCAGCAAGCGATATCAAGCGAATAATAAATTTCCAATAATAAACATGTTTATGAATATATATGTAATGCCAACAATTAATTTAAGAGCCTAAAATTTAATTTTACAAATTTTTAATAACTTATATTAATCGTACATTTGCAGTTTCTGGCAACTCCGACTCAACCCTTGACTTGTCATTCACAATTCACTGATCAGGTGAATAAGAAAATAACAGCATAAAGTCTGCCTTGGAATATCGTGTTACACATTTAGCATTAAAATATCAATTTGACATTTAGCAAATTTTGCAAAAAAAAAACCAAAAAATTTCAAACCACAAAATAAACGAGGAGCAAGCGTTTGCCTCACATTTGCAAGAGAAGCGTACGCTGATCGCTTCAAAAGAACATTTCGAGACAGAGGAATACAGAGAGACCCAGAGTGCGTCATGAAACCATTCAAGTGTACGCACAGTAGAAATAAAAAGTACTAAAAAACACAATGAACTAAAGCGAAGAAAGTTGAGCCTTACGAAATAACAAGTAATTATTAATAAAAAGCAGACAGCCAGACAGTTGATATAAAATTAAAAAGGGAAAAGTGTAAATGTAAGTACTGTAGAAAACATACAAATCCAATGCCGACAATCAAGTGGCAGTGAAAAGTGAAAAATAACATAAATAAAAATAAAATATTATATTTACATAAACATACAATATACAGCAGAAGAAGTATGCAAACTAACAATCGTAGGAAAGATCAAAGATCGATCGTAACGATCGAACTGCCGATCAAGCAATTGTATGAGTAATCGCATGCTTTTCAAAGTAAGATGCTTATGATTGACTGTACTTCAAACGACTGCTTGTATAAACGGCAATCATGATTAAAGAAATGCAAATAACAACAGATTGAATCGCCCGTAGGGGCGATAGACAAGCAGCGCGCGGCAAAATTCAACTATCGACAGACACACTGCATTCCCTTAAGTCATAGTCTCAGGCAGGCAGGCAGGCAACTGCTGTGCGAAGTATATGGAAAAAAGTCACTTGTGATGTGCTCAGCTCAACTGACTGACCGGTGAAGTCGATAGATGTACGTATAGTTACTACAAAGTATACTTCAATTATTTTGTCGGTGGTACTCGATCACAAAACCAAATGAGGTAAACACTTAACAACATCGCCAAATCAATATTTAAAGCGTTCCACACTCCAAATGCCGTAAAGGCGTAAAACTTAGCGTATTAGACACTTTCGCATGGTTGGGTAGTATGTGTACCGAAATACTTATTGGAATACAATTTATATGTATAGTATAACTACTATGCTGCTGCATCTCACTTACCTGCATGTAACGCGCCAACGCTGCGGCATTTGTACGTTGATGTTGCTGTTGTTGTAAATGTAACAATTGTTGTTGTTGTTGATGATGTTGCTGTTGCACTTGTGATCTCAGTTGCGGCTGTGGCGAACCCAGTGGACTAACAATTGTCGATGTCGAGCCGCCGATGCCCGTGTCATAGCCTTGAGCATTGCTATTGCAGTCAACATCTGTGCGAATGATAAAAATAGAGAAATGAAATTAGAAAACAATATGTGGATGGCAAATGCAAAAACTAATCAAGCTATAAACAATTATATAAACATAAGGGTTCTGTGAATAAACATAAAACACTATTTTCAACTACATTTTCAAGTTTATTAAAACATTTTGAGAGTAGATATATATTTTTTTGCAGTATTAATAAATATAATACAAAATCAGTGGTGGAATATTATAGTTTCTTCAGAAGTGGAATATTTTAAAAGAAAAGTAAACACATTTAGGAATGTCATTATATATAGAATTGGTGTTTTGTAACAGTTGAAGCGATTTTAGGCTGAGCTCTTCCTCCAATTTGTAGTTTTGCGTCTTGATGTTTTTCCCAACAAATGGAGGGACCTACAGTTTATACTAAACCGCCTACGAACGGCTGATAGTTGTTTATGAGGAGCCTTTATTTCATGTCGGAAGGGTTGGCTTTTCCTGTCGGCGAGCGCCCGCAATTAGAAGATTGAGCTTAAATTTTTATTTTAATTAACTTTCTGTAATTTTATGGATGTTAGTATGACACCAGGATTTGAACCCGAGCCTTCCGAACTTCTCTTGGCTACCGCGGCCACCATTATAACACTATTGGTAATAATAAGAATAGACCGTGCTGAGAAATACCCTCATTTTTGTGTCCTTTAAAAAATATACTATATTCAAATATTTTTCTTATTTAAATTAAATCCACATTGAAACCTCGCAGGGCAAATACTCTTTCAACAAAGAACGAAATACCATGGCTACAGACATTGTTTTCGATATGTTTAACAAATAATAGCCAACAAGAATTGCAATGCAAATGTAATGGGAAATAATAATGAGAAGAAAAAAGACAGCAGCAAAAAAAAACAGCACCAACAAATATGCGAACTGATAAATTGCGTCGTGTTTATGTAAATTTACGACATGCAAATACAATAAAAAATATCTAACTAAGATCAGCTAATGGCTGAACCCCCTCATGAAAGAAAAAATAAGCATCAAATAAAAAATAACTGAAAATAAAAGGAAAAATTGCAATTTTACATTCTTAACTACAATTGTGGCTGCTGCTGCTGCCGCTGCTTCAACTGCTACAGCATCGTATGAAATGATCGTAAAGTGAAGGAGATCGATTTCAAATTGCTACAAACACAGCACGCAGCTGCAATAATTTGCACTACAAGCAGCAGGCGAGCATATAAGTACACCAACAGAAAAACACAGAAGCATATAAATAAATAGACAAGAGGACAAATGGGAAAATAAAAGCAAAAATGACCAAATAGCTTATAAGCAAAGCAAACGATCAATTGTGCAAACGATCTGCAATTCAAACGATTGGCAGTCACTTACATATTTCGTAAACACAAACATACATATGCACATATATACGAGTATATAAAAAAGCGCTATGCATAAAAAATTGCAACTGCAGAAGCTGTCTATAGTCTGTAGTAGTAGTTGGCGTGAGAATGAATAACTAACTAACTGTCTGACTGCCTAGCTGACTGACTCCCTGAATGACTTGAGTGTGATCGCCGCCAGTCTAAAGCGCTGCTCTTAACCTCTTTTTAAACAGCTCGACGGCCACTTAAACTCGTACGTTACCACTTTTAAAGTAAGTATGTAGGTAGGGGCAAAACCAATTCGCATTTATGTTTATACAAAATTCTACAATTTGCAAAAATTGTTGATTTTTCACAACACTTTTGACTAGACAAAAGGTGGTATCGATTGAAATGGTACTCATAAAACTAAGTTTATACCTCAGAAATGGTCAAATTGCTTAAGCACGCCCCCATAGGATATTTCTCAGCGAGATTTTTTGTTGCAACTTTGTGCTATGTGTTTATGACTCAAACTGGACTTGCTAATCAATGTTAGAAGATACCATAGATGACTGATCCAAGTGCTCTTGGTATACCTACTAGCTTTTAGACCTCCACATTGGATACTACTCTGATAGAAGTTATTTTAACGAGACTTACACGAGCACTTCCATATCCTACTCCAAGTACAGTCAGTTTTATAACTCGTTACGAGGGTAACATTGATTCGAGATGGTGGAAAATTTATTTAATCACACTGAAAGCATTACCAACCTTAGCTAAACAATGTTGCTCAGAAAACTGGACAGTAAGGTTTTAAAGAGCTCGCAGGGAGGAAGGAATGTTTATTAAATGAAAAAAAAAAACTGCAAGAAAGACGTAGCACACTAACCACCGGCTTTTCAAGCGTCCCACTACGTTTTCATCGAAGACTTCATCAATGGCATCCAACAACATCGAGGCAAGAAACATACCTTAGTGAAACATTCGTTTGGAGTTTTTAGAAAGATTTACCGGTTGTATGTCAGCCGTAGGATATCAAGGGTGTTCCTTATGAGCTCAAAACTGTTATTATAAGCCTTATGACGAGGTTTTTAACTCTCCGCCTACCGAAAGTGTTTTATCTACTGAGGCTTAAAATTCTTCTGACCCACTTGGTTTAACGAGGTTTATGAAGTTTTCAAAAGCAAAAAAATACTCTTTAATGACACTAAACGCTCACGAATTCTACTACACTAATCGCTGACAATTGTAATGAACCATTAAATTGGCTGGTAAACTGATTGCTGGTCGTTTTGCAGTCTGCGTTTGTTTTTTTTTTGCAAACGCTAATAAGCCATAAGTACCATGTTATCTGGCATCGATTACAAATAATACAGCGAAAGAATTATTACATTGGTTATTAATTCTCGAAACAAAAGAAGAATGAAATAATAATAATAATAAGAAATAATAAAGAAAAATATTATTCTAACTGTGCAGCTGATTTTATTAAGTGGGTGCGGCTAAAAGAAATGATAATTCTGATAACTATTTTAATGAGGTTTTGACATGAAAAATCGTGATTAATTAGAAAATAAGTACCAATCGGGTTAATTTTACAAAAGGGGCGAGTAATAATTTTGCATTCTTTGAAATGAAAGCGTTTTCCAAGCTTCGACTTTAATCGTTTGGCACAACACTCTAACTTTAATAAGGAATCACTTTTGGAGCGCATTGGAGATGCTGTAATTTTAATTGATTAACGATTAATAAAAAATTGAAATTACAATAATAAAGACACCATCGTAGTATACTCGTATTTCCTCTTTCTAATTTACGAGTAGTACCCGGAGGTTACAAGTGCGCTTACTCTTCAATAAGACTATGCTATAAACGTATATTAGAATACACTTGACTTATACTACGTCTATACTACACCTATACCACGTCTATACTACACCTATACCACGTTTATACTACACCTATACCACACTTATACCACAATTATATCACAGCTCCGTCTATGTACACTACATAAAGCTTTAACAAATTTTTATCGCTGCAAAAGAGAAAGGTGTTGCTCACATTTAATTACTCTATTGCAACTGATTTCAGATTTGCTTGTACTCGTACGTATCTATGTATTTATGTATGTAAACGATTTCCGTTTGTAATAAAATTGTATACACCAATTTCAATTCACATAGTGGTTGTAAATCTCAAGTTGAGTAAATTTTTCAAGACATACAAATTAGTCGAGAGGAGTAAAAGACAGGTGAATGTAGAGACTAAGTTTCGAATTAAAGGAAATAAAATATATAGAATGCTTTTCCGAAGATTAAAATGGCTTTTTTATTTCAAATATACTCTCGGAGCCAACGTAGTTATAAAAATTAATTTTCAATAATTTTGGCATCAGGACTCGAGCCCTGGCTTTTCGAATGACAAAGCTAGCCACTCGGCTATTGCGGCTGCAATTAAGAAATCAATTCGGAGGCGGCATAGAATAAACTTTAGGTTCTTTCATTTGTTGGAAAAACGTCATACCACAAATAGAAGAAAGAGCTCGGACGAAAATCGCTTCTGCGGTTACAAAGCGCCGATTATTTTACTTAATATATATATGTACAAGTTTTTAAACTATTTTTGAGGTTAGCTATCACTAAGCGGGTATATGAATTTATTACTTCATAATTGTTATTATTTCATTATTACTTATTTTTTATAATTCCTTAACTTGTTTAGCTTACCTTTCAATGAACTATTACTATTCATACACATCGGACATTGATCGTTACGAAACATACAGGAATAGCAACGCTCATGACCACAGGTATCGATCAATTTCCGTCGTTTGCCCTTGTCGAAGGAGATGCGACAACTCGGGCATACCGTACCGCTGCTGTCGTGCTCCAATAAGCGACGAATCGATTGGAGATCTATAAAGTAAAAAGAGAGAAAAAAATGAGATTAGCACTAAGGTAAGGAGAGTTTTTGAAATAGACAATAATAAATTCCGAGTGAGTTGATTTTATAAATAAGTCAAATTTGGAGATATTAATAGAGTAGTTGGAAAATGTAAGAGGCGGACGAATATCGGTCTTAAGAATAGCTATATTATTTTAATCTATTTTATTTTATTTCTTTATATTTTAATTTTTTTTATTTTGCTTTATTTTATTTTAGTGTTAATTTAGTTTGTTTTATTATACTTTTTTTAATCTATTTTATTTTGTTGCATATCATAATATTTTTTTTTTCAAATTTCATTATTATTTTATTTTAATTTATTTTATTTTAATCTATTTACTTTTATGTATTTATATTAATATTTATTTTTTTTATACTTAAGTTTTAATTTAGTTTGGTTTAGTAAATGCTTTTTAACCTATTTTATTTCGTTGCATTTCATAATATTTTTTTTTAATTTTATTATTATTTTATTTTAATTTATTTTATTTTATTTCATTAAAATTTTTTTTGTTATTTTATTTTCATTACTTTGATTTAATTTAATTCTCTTTTGCTTTTTTGTTCCCGTTGTTTTCCTTTATTAAATTTTAACTTTTTAAATCTTATATATTATTTTATTTTATCCTTCTTTACTTTTTATATTTAATTTTATTTTTTATTAGATTAATTTATTTAATTTTATTTTATTTTACTTCATTTTATTTGGTTTCATTTTATAATATTTTATTTAATTTTTTTTTTTTACTTCAGCTTCTTTTATTTTCTTCTGCTTTGCCTAATTTTATTTCGTTTTATGTGTTTTCGTTTTGTTTTATTTTATATTACTTCGATTTATATTATTTTTATTTGCCTTTTTTTATTATTATTTATTTCGTTTTACTTTTTCATTTCACTTCTTTTTTGTTTTATATTATTTAAATTTAATTCATTTTATTTTTTATTTTTTTTTTAAATCAATTTGTTTAATTTTTTTATTTTAGTTTGTTTTATTTTTTATCTCATTTTTTATTACATTTAAGCTTGCTTTTTTATTTAGTTTTATTTAATTAGTATTACATAATTTTATTTGATTTTATTTGGTGTTATTTTATTTTATTATATTTTTTTTATTTTATTTTGTTTTATTTTATTACATTTTATTTCATTTTACTTTATTTGATATTGCATTATTTTATTTTATTCTTTTTATTTTATTTTATTTTTATTCCACTAAATAATACATCATGATATGGTTTGGTTTTCATGAGCGGAAATACACTTTTTGATTTTTATTTTCCAAAAAAAAAAAAAATTAAAAACCAAAAGCGAATACATTTAAATGCAAATTTTAACTTCCTGAGCAGACACAAATGACAGGGTATTAGAATCGTGCTTGAAAAATTGTTTTTATTTTTGCCCATAGCTGAGCGTAGGTAGGCAATTGAATAAAAGAGAAAAAATTACAAAAAGATATATATGTAAATAAATAAATACCGGTGTGTACATCAAGTATGTTGCCTAATATCGAAAAACGCGCACCAAAAGCACAGCAAATGCAATTTGGTGAGAAAATAAAAAACAAATAAATGAGAGGTTGTATAAAAATATAAATAATTATAAAAAACACCAGCAACGCGCGTAGCACCAGACTTGTTGACTTCGCACGTTTTTTTTTTGCCTGCAATTTTCTGCTCGATCATTGTGAATGGTTGCTTTTTGTGCACAGACAACCGGTTGGCAACGTGTGCATGTTCTGCGGCCCACGCAAAATTTCAAAGGAAAGAGATACGAAAAATATAGTGGAAATAAAAGGATTTGGGTATAAATGTGTAAATTAATGAAAAATGTGTTTGTAAGACATCAAATAAAGCAAAATTGCTGAAACCAACTATACCAGCGCAGTATCTGCTAGTGCCCGACGCAGGCTAACCTCAAATGCGATTTATTTTTTTTCTAATTCAACATTACCTCACAATTTCGAGCGCAAATAAAAATTAGTGATGAAAAAGAACCAAAAGTGCTTAAAAAAACATTTTAAAGTATTTATGTGTTTATTAAGTACATACAAATATATGTATTACTTTACGCATTGCATTGATTTGCTGTTTTTTACTCACTCATGAAATTATTGTTTTTTTTCGCAATTTTTGCCAAAAGTGGCTTTGGATGAATGAAACCCACACACATGCTTCATTCAGCAACCCAACTCATTCATGCAATGGCTGCGTTGAAGCGCATGCGTGCAATACCCGCTGAAACCGGACGCAGATCAACGCGTTGCAGCAACCAGTCAAGTCGGCCCACTCGTAAAAAGAAAAAAATGATCGCAAATAAAGATTTTTCTTTATTAAGTTTGAAGTACACATACACATATGCGAACATAGTTATTTTTCATTGAGTTTTAAGCGCGTGTGCACAACGTTTACATCCGTTCATGCAATCGCCGTCTGTCCAACCACCAACCACCGTAGGGCAGAACATGCTTACGAACGTGTAGCAAAGTCGATTTGCTGATTGTAATGTTTTTAGAAAAAGCCTTCAAAGCAATTGCTATTTCATTGTATTTCGCATGTTATGCTTGTTATCGTTGTTGTTATTGTTGGTGGCACAAGTGCAAATGCGTGGGCAGATAACAGCCTGGCAAATACTTGCGAGCACAAAGCAGCTTGAAGCTGTGTCTACGGCTTTTGTTTTCGTCTACGTCTGCTTCGCTTTCGGCCGCTTATGGTCTGTAAATGTCATTTATGCGGGTTTTATTGCGAAATCGTTAAAATATGCTGGAAGGTTAAGGTTTCCCCACCCACTGTTTGAAGCCGTGCATTTGTATGTAAATGTAAGATAGGCAAATTTTAGGGACGGATTTGCATTTTCTTCTACTGATTTTATTTTGTTGGAAGAATTTTGTATTAAAAACTTTGGCATTTGACGATATTAATTATAATTTTAAATTTTATGCAATAAAAAACTTTTTCCAGAGCTTTTAAAGCTTAAAGCACAACATACTACGCTGCTTTCGAATGGAAAACTGCAATTATTAAATTCTATTGTTTCATTATAGAAGCAAGTATTTCTAAACTTTGAGAGTTAAAGCTTTATAAGAAATTTCTAATTTCTATGTTTCAAGATTAGAAAAATTTAGCAAGGTACTTCTAATTTTTATGCCATTTTAACAAGACTTTCCAAGCTCATAGAGCTTAAAGCTTTATAGGAAAGTTAAAATTCTGGTTTAAAAATTTGTGAGAGCTCATGAACATTGTCTTAGCATCTAATGCACAGCATTAAATGAAACTTTTATTTCACTTGGAAGAACTTAAAGCTTTATTGGCGCATCAATGTGACAATTTCAGAGGAGTATTTGGCTGTATTCATATGAAATGTATATGTTGGCGCGTCTTATTTAGGTTTCCTACAAGAGCTTAAAGATTTACTTAACAATTTTAAAATTCACAAACTTTAAAAGCTCAGCTTAATGATCAAAACCTTAAGTAATGAACAGCAATTTTTAGCCTTTAGGCAATTTTAGCTTCTCTAAGTTATAAAACTTTTGAATTTTTTACTCTGAGCACAAGAAGTTGTACTTGAATACCTCAAGCTCTGTTGTGGCTAAAAGCTTCAAAGATGTTTTTTCTACGTTATATTAAAAAAATGAAAATATAAATATAGTAAAAATCGAAAAATACAGCGAAGGTTATTTTTTTTTTTTACATTAAAGTGGAATTTAATATAATTTCGGAGCTTACGGTTTTTTTTAACTTTAAGCTTTCATTTATTGTATTTAGCTAGTATGAGGCAATAAGTCTTTGTAAAATATATAATCTTAATAAAAGCACATTTATTTCACCTCGTGAGCCTAAAGCTTAATTGAAAAGCTGCAGGCCTTCTAAGCCGTTTTCACTCTATATTAAAAAACTTAAAAGATAAAAATTCCTATGGATTTTTATGTTAGTTGTACGCTTAAAATACGGCAAAAATTATTTATTTCAACTTTCAAAGTTTAGTTTAATTAACTTTTATCGCTTAAACTTTTCTTCAATCTTCGAGCTTTCCTTGAGAGCTTAAAGTTCAGCATAAGAGCTTTTCAAAGTTCAAGCGCTCTTGCAGTAGAAATCAACTGAATAGATTTTTCAAGTAATTAATTCTTCGTTTCGTCGCGCTAGAGTCGTTCACTTTCCACCAACACGTAATCGCTGACCCCTGACTAAGAAGTATGGTATTATTATCAAAGAACAATAAAAAGAAAGAAATTTAAATGAATTACTGAGAATGCGGAAGTAAATTTACATGCAATCGGTCAAATTCCACAGCGTCCAAATGGCTTTCAAATACATACATATGTACGAAAAATGATGTTGGCAACCACATTGCGGTCACAGAGCGTTGGCGTCTGCGTAGAATGTGTGCGAAAAACCGCAACGGACAAGCAAAGATGATGAGCTTACTGCGTGTTTCAAATAAGAAGAAGAAGAAGATTACGGATTTTACACAGCCAATTAAGTGTAAAAATTGAATTTTATTTTACACTCCCACCCACCCACCAGTGCCACGAGATGAACGCGGATGAGCGGCGTGCAAAAAAGATTATTTTTTTCTCTCAAACACTCGGTGCTGATGATTACTTTCCCCCATAAATGTTGTTGTTTCCCGCAGTTGGCTGCTAAATTCAATTATGACAAAATTTGTGGCATGCAACACAACAGCGCGCGACCCACAGTTATAAGTTCCAAAGCCGCTTAGTGTAATTTTCAGCTCAATTTGCACAGAACAAATGCAAATATGTATATTTACATACATAAATATTGTAGCAAATGTACATACACATCTACATATTGTCTGTTTGTCCCGCACTTTTTCACATTTTAATAATTTCTTTAAGCACAAAACCGCAACGAAAATTAACAACGACAAACGTCAAACCGCTGAGTGCCGGCAGCAAACGCCCACACGACGCGTCGTGCCGTCGCGGCAAAACATGTTAGGCGGCTGATAG